TAGTCTAAGTTCCAAACTTCTTAGCCTAGTAGAATCATAGGTCAACTATTTGGTTGAGTGTTTTTTAATAAAATGTTATTTAATATGACAATAAATGACATTGACATTTGTTTCTACGGATTCCATTGTAAAGAACAGGCCACTAGATCTTTCGGCAAAATACACTCGCGTTAAACAGCTCATCTTTTTAAAAATACATTACAATACATTTATTTTTTTTTGTCATAAATCCTTAACTTTTCGAAGAAACTTGAAGAGATCAAAAAGTTAGTAAATGAATGGGGTTTTTTAGACATATTTTTTAAAAGGAAAAAATTTTATCGAAAAAAAAATTATAAGAAAAAATGTCATAGGGGTTGATTATTTCAACCCCTTACAAAAATAGTTCAGGGTTGAAAAAAATTCAAAAAGTGTAGTTTTATTGACAGATAATGTTCACCAAGTTTGGTTTCTTTAGCTTGATGTACGTGGAAGATAAAAAAGAAAAACAATTTTTTTTTGTAATTTTAGGAGGGGCGTAACTTTTCAGGGAAGGGTTTTTTCAAAAAATTTTATACCAAAGACCCCTATTAATTTTCATCGGAGAATCTCCCCTTGAATTTTTTCGGTGTTATTTAGATACACCCTGTATATCAGGTTACAGTTTATGCTAGCGTGGCAGTATTGGTGGTCATTGACCTCGAATGATGCAATACCGGATAAGAATGACGCAATGCTGTTGGAAGGTCATTGACCTCCCTTATCGTAACTATAGCCCCGCCTCTTTGTCGCCATCTTGTTGATAGCGACCTATCACCTGCCGCTACGTGCCGCACCCCGCACGCCGCCATCTTCCCGCTACCGCCATCTTGACCCGCCTCCTCCTACCAGCGACATCTATAAAATCCTGGCGGCAGAATTCTGAACTAACCCTCTGGTCATTGACCAACTCTTCAGCAACCCGCCTACCTCCACACAGACCGCCGCCATGTTCTTGTTAGCGACCTATCACCTATCCTCAGATAGCCACCCCCGTGCCGCCATGACACTTCTTGCATGCCAACACCCACGCATCTCTTGCACAACGACAATGCCCACAAGAAGCCGCTGAAGGATCGGGCCGAACTCGATGGACGCTGGCCATATGACGTCACTTCCGGTCCAAAACCGGCCTATCCAATCTACTAGCGGGAGATTTAAAATCCAAAGATGAACAATAGAAAAGGCATATATGTATTACATTAAACGGAATTGGCGGTAAATATAACATTAATGACTAAGTTGGAACGCGTGTATAAAACATAGTTCTAACCTGATATCTTATTTCCTTTAACTCCCCAAATCAACATAAATCATCATTGCCTATAAGAGAGGAAGAAAGGTGAATGAACTCCAAACAGCATTACATGATTCTCATACGGTATTGCATCATTAAATTGAGGTTTGACCAATGGTGGATTCAAATTGGTAGGAAATTTAAAATCCAATCACGATAAGGGAGGTCAATGAACTCCAAACAGTATTACATCATTCTCATTAGGTATTACATCATTCACAGTTTTAACAAAAATTGTAACCAAATAGTGTATTTTCTTTAAAGTTGCTACGCTAGCATAAACTGTAACCTGATATCTTGTTTCCTTTAATACTGCCACGTTGGCATAAATTATAAACTTATTATTTCCTTTAAAATCGCTGTGTTAACAAAAATTGTAAGCTAATAGAAACAAGAAATATATATAACACCCGCCACTTTAATGCTACGAAGCTATGCCAGAATGGTGGCCGAAGATTTTGCAAGTGGCTGGAGAATAAAAGATCGAAAGAATTTATGCGATATTTTGCTTTGGAAAGTGATCCCTCGAAAAATGCGGCGATGTCCCCCCCGACCCCTCTTACACAGTAAAAGGTAACGAAAGTGATGGGGACTATTATCCCTTGCAAACAATAAAAGGCAATAAGAACCCCCGTATACAATACGAATAGATATTTATTATTTTATTTTTATAGCTTATCTTTTCAGGCGGTCCCCAGCATTCGTCCTCAGGAACGGAATTTGGCATTACTTAGATTGGCCTCCTACCTGACATTACGCTCTTTAAAAGCACCTATTGCTACACATGACTATGACATACTTAATAATAATCGAACATCTAATGATTAAATTCACAGAACAAAAGATGTGTTTTTATTCGAACTGTTTTTTGATAACAACTTGAATATTGCCCATTGTAAGTTGTTACAATATGTGGTATTATACAATGGAGGTGGTAGGGTTGTAATTCTTGAAGGTGCTGCTCTACTAAACCGTATGTTGTTGTTGATACCAATAAATCTGGAGGGCTGCGGCATAGATGTGGAGTTTATGCTGTTTTCGCTACTTATATTGATCTTAAGCCATAATACTTTTGAATGATTTTTGCAATACTCTTCAGTACTAACGCTATTGTAGCAACTGTTATAAAATAAATAGGTCCGGAAATTGTATTAATCTGTTTTCGTATTCTTAGACGCTTCGATGAGTGCGTCTGCGTATACATCTTCACAATCGGAGTAGTTTAAAATAGGTAACTTTGTCCAGACAACGAAATCTCCAATCGACTTGTCTTGAAATGTTATTCTCAACCTCTAGAATTTAGAATGTTCCGGAATTGGCGTCCCGAAGACCCTCAGCTTTCCGCCATTAACTATAGTATGTCTCATCTGAGTATATGGAGACAACACACAACGTATATGGACACGTATCACTGTCGCTGGCATTTCTGTAGCACACGTACATTTCGTGTACGCTATTTTGCACGCACGCACGCACGCACGCACACCCACACACACACGCACACGCACACACACACACACGCGCGCACACACACACACACGCACACGCACGCACGCACGCACACCCGATGCAAAATAGTTTATTGGTACGTGTATCAATTCAGTTCGCTTTAACACTCCATACAATTATCATAAATCGAGAAAATAACTTGTGAGGACGTCCTCGTTATCGGGTTTGTGTGTCTGTGTGAAAAATTGCGGGGACAGTCCCCACAATCTTGCAGTGTCTATGTATTGTAGGGACCTTCACACACACCTTTTATTTACGCTGTTGTCAAATCTTCAAGTCCCCACTATTTACGGGTCCCCACTATTTAGGGGTCCCCACTATTTAGGGTCCCCACGAGACTTTTGTGTGATACCCACGGTGTATTTTAATAATTTTAAACTTGATATTACGTTTTCGGCAGAAAATTAAATAACTTTTGTTAAATTGAATCTTCTAAATTTTTTTGTGCCCACATTCTCCGAGAATTTTATAGTCTCATATGTTAATTATTATGACTTTGTTAATGAAAATTGCTTATTATAGCAAGATTCACATTATACGGAACGTCAACGTACCATCACGGACCAGCATCGTCCCGTCAAACTATTAGTAGTACGCATTTCAAATTTTCGGAAAAGTATAGTACAGGGTGTCATTTGAAATAAAAAAGTTATGGTCGTTTCCAGTTAAACCGGAAGTGAAAGAATTTTAATATTAGGCTTAATTTAAAGAAGATTAGGTGTACATCAGATGCACAAATTTCAAGTTTATATTTTGTTAAATAATAACAGATACAACTGAGACACCTGGTATTCACATAACAGTCTATCTATTTTTGAGTTAACTCTTAAGCAGGATTCACAATATACGGACCAGCATCATCCCGTCAAACTATTAGTAGTACGCATTTCTTATGATAATATTTGGTAATTACCATAAGAAATGCATACTACAATAATCTGACGGGATGGTGCCGGTCCGTGATGGTACGTTGACATTCCGTATAATGTGAATCCTGCTTAAGAGTTGACTCAAAAATAGGTATACTGTTATGTGAATACCAGGTGTCTCAGTTGTAGGTATTTGTTATTATTTAACAAAATATAAACTTGAAATTTGTGCATCTGATGTACACCTAATCTTCTTTAAATTAAGCCTAATATTAAAATTCTTTCACTTCCGGTTTAACTGGAAACGACCATAGCTTTTTTATTTTAAATGACACTCTGTACTATACTTTTTTTAAATTTTGAATTCTGCAAAGAAATTGCGTTCCTATGAAGTAGGTATTACACTTGGTATTTAGACTTCAAAACAGAAGTGAAATTGCATTTTAAATGTTTCCAAAATTATGAAAAGCATGTGCATTATTTTGGATTTAAATTTTAAAATAGTAAAGATAGACTTTCCAAAATTTGAATTTCATGTAAAAAAATTGGCTTGGTTTGTATCTACAAAACCGGTACCAATTCCGTTCTGAGGTTATCAGAACAAACTCGTAGAAATATTTTTAAAACATGTGTTTCAACTATTTCTTTCTAACTCAAAAAATATAGGTACAAAAGGAGGGTAAAATCTTGTGCATAACCCTATACAGAGTATCCCAAATATGATTCACCAGTCACCACCCTCTTATCTCCGAGATTATGAAAACTAGAGAAAAAGTTTCTCACATATTTTTAATTGAACTAAATTCATAATCATAGAGCAGAGAGATGTAGAGGAATTTTTAAAATGGATCTACTAGGTAAGAAATGTAAGAATACCGTATACCTATATTTCTGAAATTTGGTAAGGCTGTGCTTAAAACTTGAAGAGTTTGCCTTGATAATACAATTATTATAATCTTTGATATACATTTTTGGTTTCTTTCCATTTCTATTTTTACCTAACAAATCCGGTTTAAAATTCTTCTGTAAATTTTTTACGAAAATCGGTAATATCTCGAAAACTATAAATTTTAGATAATTAATAATATACAGGGTGTTTCTAAAAATAAAGTTGATGACTTGATTGGAAAGAAAAAACAAAGACTCTTTGGATATGAATTTAGTTAAATTAAATAATATGTGAAACGCTAGAAATCTTTTATATGTACACTTTTTTCCATTTTTCAGAGTTTTGGAGATAAGGTAATGGTGAATCATATTTGGTATACAATGTTAATGAAACACTTAAGTATGTGTGATGTAATTATTTATTTTCTAGTTTTTCGTATTTTTTGTATTTCATTTTTGACACAGAACTTTATTTTTTTCCAGTCTCTGTTGGACAATTCTTCATATTCTTTGATACATCTTTCACAATCAACTTTCCCATGCACAATTCCCTTCTTTATATTTACTTGAAAAAATTTCAGCACGGCCTTCTTTTCTTCACATGTCCATGATACGTGAATGCTTTTGGTTTCTAAAATAAGAAGTCGGTTAATGTTATATTACAGGTAACATGAACATATTATGTATTTTCCAAATAAATAAATTGTTACGATATATAAGTTATGATCATTCATAAGTTTGGATAATTTATAATCAACTTTATCTTTCAAGCTATCCTGATGTTAAAAATGAAAAGGAAGACGACGTCCAGAATATTGAATTTTTGAGCTATAGAGTGAAGTATATGTATAGGTTATCTACTTTTAAGTAGAAAGTGAACCACTAATCCGTGGATGCCTAATGTATTATAGTCTTTCCGAAGTCAGTTGAACATGCAAAAAACGTCTGGTAATAAAATTTAATGAGTTTCATAGGCGTCCCTAAAAATATTTTCTGATAAATGTAAAAAATTATAATAATTTATATATGTGTAGAAAATTTCTGTTATATGTTCATTTGTCCAACAACATATTTTAATTATTTATGTCCTCAAACAATTTTATTATATTGGTGGTAAATTTCGTTTTGTTCCGTTTCAAAAGGTCTCCAAAATGCCATGTTGTGATTATATTAGTAAACAACATATCCCTCTTATTTCTCCCTTTCGCAATTGTAATATGAGTGATTGATAGAAGGTGCCTATAATAAATTAAAATTACCTGAATCACACCAAATTCCACATTGCTGCACTGTACTGCTGGGCAATTTATCACTTGTCATCTGCTATGATTTATTGCCCAGTAGCCCAATGCAACTGTGATCGTTTTCCTTTGCCCGCGCTCGCATTCTTCAACTGAGCGTATACATTTCTATCACCTCCACGTTTAGTTCGACCAGACCTGAATATGGGTATGGCTAAATAAATATGGGAACATGGTACATACTGTCAATCTATTGGTTCTTCAATTGATATCGGAAAGACTATAGCATTCGCCAAAAGGCGATACCATGTAAATAAGATAGACATTGCAAAAAACAACTAGCCCTCAGGTAAACACCCAGACTGGCATTGAATATATCTACAATATCTACACCGGTCTATATCTAGGGGTTCTGATGATTGACATTCTTGCCAGATACTGTATATATAAGTCAATACCAGTCGGGGCGTTTCCCCGTGGGGTTGTTGTTTTTTACATCACTTTGTATGTATTTAAAATAATTTTAATTTTTATAGTGCCACCTAAATTTTGCCCTCTGCAAAATGACTCTTGTGAATAATAATAATAATAATACCTCTATATAGTACCAACAAAGTAAAGTAAAATAACTAGCAATTTATTAAACAAATGACGGAAAAAGCACAGTCAAACATAAAACTTTGTTGCAAGCTCGCTCGACCATATTTAGTGCTCTTCCAATGAAAGCCTAATTATGCATTTGTTACGTAAATACATATGTTCAGTAATATTACCTTTTAACTTGAATCATGTAGATTAGAGTGTATTAATGTTTTTTAAGCCAGTTTATTTAATATGGTATTAAATCAATGTAAAACTGAAATACTACAATATACATCCTTAAGAGAAATTCTAAAATTCGGAACATTAAGTATCTATCTATGTGAAAAAAAAAAGAATTCTTAAGACATTTTACCATTAATAGCTACTCAACTAAGGTACATATTCAGTTTACAAATAAAGGATGTTTTTTAATATTTTTCGATTTTTAAACTTACATATTTTTAGTGAATTCATTGATAATAATAATTAGTAATGAAGGTACTTTATCTGCGTACATCCAAAATATGTGATGTCCATAATTATCTCAATTGTCTTTTTCATATTTTATTATATGTATATTCACGTTCATATTAATTTCATCAACGGATACTGTGAGAGTAATTCAATATCGGCCGGGGTATTTGCTTGTGAAGTAGTTGTTTCTTATAATATTGTCTTGTTTGAGTAGCTATTAATGGTAAAATATCTTAAGAATTCTTTCTGTGCACATCTAGATACTTGATGTCCAGAATTTTAAAATTTCTCTTAAGAATTTATATTGCAGTATTCCACTTTCGGTTTAATATTCACTTAATTCCCTATAAACCTTTTATTTAAAAGAACTTTTACTCCCTCACCTTTTGGCGGCTTCTTATTTTTCTTTTTTTTAAGTGAATCCACATTACGTTCACCTTCATTTGGAAGCTCTTCAACTTCATCACAGTCACTTTCTTTTTCTTCTTCTACATTTTCGTTTTCCATGTTTGTATCATCGTCTAAGGCGGGTAAATCTATAACAAAAAATAATAAAGCCATGTCATCTTTCAGTGTTGTTCACAAGCTAACCTTCAATATTAATTTCGTTAATATGCTTTCCAACGTACTTCTGAGCCTCACCCTGGTCAACAGCCAACAAAATTCTACTTATTTCTGTTAACTCTATAGCACTTTCATGCATTCGATAGAATTCCTTGTGTACAGTTATATCATGACCTAAATGCCTCGCAAGCCAGTCATATTCATTTTCTGACATATCAAATAACTGACAAACTGTGGCTACATATTTCCTTAATTTTGTGCCAGTTATGGCATCTGGATTTTCTAAATGTATTTTTCTTCACAAATTTTTTTTAGACAGTCATGACCTCTCAAAAATCGTTTAGACTCATTCGATCTTGCGAATACATATTTATTATGAAATGAAATCTTACATTCATCTCTATGTCTTATCAAAATATCAATAGACTCTTTAATGGGTGTTGGAAGTATAATAGGAACTTTTCTTCCGCGTTTTCCTTCAACTTCTACTATAACCATACTTTCAGCTAATTTCTTTTCGACGGGACTGAGAGATTCTCGTATTTCTGCAGTATTCTGTTCCTCCCAAAATGGCCTAAGTAATCACTCATTTTGGAGGCTTCCCCAGAACGCCTTTTATTAAATAATATTATTCTGGCTAGACACAAAGTTGCCAATCTTGTCCACTTCTGGTTGTCACGATTATCATCCTCAACGTCCAACTTAGTTTTTGCAATGTTACTGTCTATATGTCTACTTAATTTAACCAAATCACCTGTAACAGGCAGTAACTGTGTAGCGTTAAATATTCTTCTGTAAAGAGTTGAGAGAGCATTGGAAGATATTTTAATATTCCATTCGATTTCTAGGAGTTCTTTAAAAGCTAATAATGTTTTATTCTTTTTCATGTTTCCTGCTCTAAGTGCACTGCCTCTTTCAATTGCGATACATTTTTTAAGAGCATATCCGATTTTCAGAGCCAAACTAGGGGTATGAAATTCTGGTCTTGTTATACTATCTGAGGAAACAGTATTCATACTTATTTCTTTAGTTGCTTGAATTACAAGATCATATTTAACAGGCGTCAGAAAATCTGCTAATGACTGAAGAATTTTTGTTTAATTTGTTTAGGGCTAAGGTTAACCGTGCCAATTGTCTCATTGTTTGGCGTATGAATTCAGCTTGAGTATCTGCATACTTTTCATATTGCATCGCACCAAATTTTAAAATCAAAACGTCGGTTTTGCACACATTGCCGATTTCATCAGATCTGAATGCTGAGATCACTGATTTGTTATACTCTTTTGAAAATCCCAAGCCGAAGATATCAGATATCAGAGCATTACTTTCGGCGATAGCATGTCTTGATTTTTGGTTTTCTTTATTGAAAAATTTGTCTTTGCAGGAATACTTCATGTGATGCCAAATATGTTTTTTCAACATAAATCCAAGACATTTCGGACAAGGGCTGTAATCCGAATCTTTAACAAACCCAAGTTCATTTACTGTTGGTCTTCTAATAAGTATTAGTTTGTGATGTACTTTCGAGGTTCGGTCGTAGACGTAGAACTAGTACAGTCACAGTCCGGTTCACTCGGTGGAGAAGTGTTTTCCAAGGTTCGGGAATATTACAAGACTTGGTATAAATCAAACTTTTATTTTCCAAAATAAATCGCAGTCTGTAAATACATATAATATTAACAATAATACCCTACCCATATAAATAACAAAGACATCGGGATACCTATTGTCACGAAGGCAATACGGATGTCCTGACGGTGACAACGCCGAGTGTCGCGGAAAGACCTGCTAAACACCCGGAGTCAGCCGCGAGGTAGACGTCAGGTACCGCGGAAAGACCTGCTAAGTACCCGGAGTCGGAGTCCAGTTGTGTACCTTACCTTGAGCGCCGCGGAAGAGACCTGCTAAACGCTCTGGTTAGGACACCCAGAGGAGGGTTGAGTGCCGTGGAAAGACCTACTAAGCACTGCCTGGTGTAGGTGACTCCGTTGCTTTTATACAGAACGGCTGGTAGTGCCGTGTGCAACTTCAGCCGTTGAAACGGCGACTTCGTGGGCCGTGTGCAAAATCGCGGTGCGCCAAACAATTATAATACAGCGGGAGCAAAATAAAATAAGTTCATTACGAAAATATAAATGAAATCCCGAAAATAAAAAAAAGGTTCATTACAAGTTCTCCGCTTTTCTAAAACATTACAGTTGTGGTAAAAATCACCAATTCTAATTATTTCAGCAAAACCCTCTTTACGCTGATTTGATTTTTTTTGGGTAAGATAGACATTTTGCCACTTCTGTTTCTTTAAAATGAACTGTTTCAAAATGCCTAGCCATATGTATAATATTTTTGTCACAATAATAACAGACGTGGGTCTTCTTCGGCGCAGCATTTATTTGTATATCATTTTCAGGATTTGTCTTCCTGTATATATTTTGAAATGATTCATCTGTGCTAGTTTCATTACTTATACGTTTTTTCTTATAATCGTCATCTCCTGGTGATATCACTGGATTATCATTTACATTAGTGAGTTTATTCTCATTATTTTTTTGATATTCCGAATCCAAATTTATAATACTCTGATTTTGGTCCAATTCAATGTTGATATTACATTTTTCTTGAACTTCATCTGTCACATTGTCATGTAGTCTTGTGCTTTCTAGAAATTTATGGATGAGAAATTCCTTACCCAAAATGCTATCGTTGGATATATTCTTTCCTTCCGTTTCACAATTGACTGAATTTTTACTCAGTCTGTCTTCACCATTTAATTTCACATTTTGTAGAATACAATTTTTTTTGTTTCCATTCTTGTGATTTTCATTTTCATCCATGTCATTCTTGAAAGCTGTAACAAAGTAACATATTTCTGTTTTCTATTCTTAACAACGGCAAGCAGAGCACCTACTTCATCAAATTATGTCTATTTTAAATTATCTAGCAGGAACTCGGATAACATTGAATTATCTTAAAAGTCTATAAACGAAGAATCACAAAAATTAAAACAAAAACGAATTGTATTTTACAAAATGTGGAGTTAAACCGTGAACACAGACTTAGTAAAACTACAAATTAGGTCAATGATGAAACAGAAGAAAATATGTTTAAGTATACTTGCGGCATTGTGGGTAAGGAATTTTTATCCAAGTAGGCAGCAAAACAATATGTGAAAATGTGAAAATGAAGTTCAACAAAAATCTAATAGCAATATTGAACTGGACAAGGAGTAGAGTATAACTTTGATTCGGATTATAGTCTATTAATAACACTAATTCTAAAAAACGCATAAATAATGAAACTAGCTAGATAATTCTTTTCAGAATAGATACAGGAATACAAATCCTGAAAATGATATACAAATTGCACCCAAGACGAATGGAAAAAGGATTACAAATGAGAGTCTGTTATAATTGTGACAAAAAAAGTATACATATGGCTAGGCATTTTGAAACAGTTCATTTAAAATAATCAGAAGTGGCGAAATATCTGTCTTACCCAAAAAAATAAAAATCAGCATAAAGAGGGTTTTGCTGAAATAATTAGAAATTAGAATTGGTGATTTTTACTACAACTGTAATGTTTTAGTAACTAAAAGCGGAGAACTAATTAGAAGACCAACAGTAAATGAACTTCAGTTTTTAAGGATTCGGACTACGTCCAAATGGCTTGGATTTATGTTGAAAAAAAATATTTGGCATCACATGAAGTATTCCTTTTTGATAAAGAAAAACAGAAATCAAGATACGCTATCGCCGACAGTAAAACCCTCTGATATCCAATATCTTCGATTTCGGATTTTTAAAAGAATACACATATCGGTGATCTCAGCATTCAGATCTGATGAAATCGGCAATGTGTGCAAAAACGACGTTTTGATTTTAAAATTTGGTGCGATGCAATATGAAAAGTATGCAGGTACTCAAGTTGAATTTTACAACAAACAATGAGGCAATTGGTACCGTTAACCTTAGCCCGAAACAAATTAAACAAAAATTCTTCAAAGTCATTAGCAGATCTGATGCCTGATAAAAATGATCTTGTAATTCAAGCAACTAAAGAAATAAGTATGAATACTGTTTCCTCAGATAGTATTACTAAACCCGAATTTCATACCCCGAGTTTGGCTCTGAAAATCGGATATGTTCTTGTATGTATCGCAATTGAAAGAGGCAGTGCACTTAGAGCAGGAAACATGAAAAATAATAAAATATTAGATTTTAAAGAGCTCCTACAAATGGAATGGAATATTAAAATATCTTCAAATGCCCTCTAAACACTTTACAGAAGAAAATTTAACCCTACACTGTTACTGCCAGTAAATTGCCTAAAAAGAATTGTGAAGAAATACATTTCGAAAATCCAGATGCCATAACTGACACAAAATTAAGGAAATATGTAGCCACAGTCTGTCAGTTATTTGATATGTCGGAAAATGAATATGACTGGCTTGCGATGCATTTAGGTCATGATATAACTGTACACAGGGAATTCTATCGAATGCATGAAAGTGCTAATATGTAGAACTAACAAAACAAAATACAAAATTTTTCATTTTTCTCATTCCTAATACAACCATATGTCATGTAATTTTTTACCCGATGGAAAACATTTTCAAATTTATATGTTTAATTTGTTTATTAGAATATTAGAAACCACGGAAAAATATTTTTCTACCGATTTAATTTACAAATTGTTAACGAAATAAGTGCTCAAAATTTGTGAGTGTTTAAAACTTGTCGAAATATGATGAAAAACTTAGTAGAGTTTTTGTCAATGGCGGCCCCTAAGGGAGATACGGCCCCTTGAGGGGGTAGCTCAGGAAACAGTTTTTATTGCATAAAACGGGTTAATATTAAATCACGAAATTTTGGGATTGTATTACTATTTTATGCTTAATAATCGGTGTAATACACAAATCAAAATTTGCTACAGATGCCTAAGAAAATGCGGGACCATTGAGCAAATTTTACAATTTTTTTGTGTACGCAATTTTTTCTAGTTCCTGAACTGAAAATATTAAAATGTATCACATTTTGCATAAAAAAGGTACTCTTGTTAGATTTTAATAACGTGAGCCGTTTTCTAGTAAAATCCATTTTAATAATTCATTACGTGCTCAAAAATTCCTGCTGCAAAATAAATGTGCCATGAGAAAATTACTATTTGTGACACTTAACAGAGAAATTTGAATTTAGGTATTGTAATAAACATAGAAGAAACTAAATTATTCTGCTAGTTCAGACACAGAGGAATCCGCGCGGATCACCTATCCTATTCAAATTTCTCAAATTGGAATATTGAGTAGGTAATCTAATCAGTAATTGACATATACTTGACACCTCTGTTAAGTGTCACAGATAGTAATTTTTTCATGGCACACTTTGATACGGTTATTTTGCAGCAGAAATTTTTGAGCACGTAATGAATTATTGAAATTTATTTTACTACAAAACGGCTCATGCTAATCTAACAAGAGTACCTTTTTTATGCAAAATATGATAAATTTTCATATTTCCAGTTCCAGGAACTAGAAAAATTGCGTACACAAAAAAAATTTGTAAAATTTGCCCCAAGCTCCCGCATTTCCTTACGCCTCTGTAGCAAATTTTGATTTCTATATTATACCGATTATTAAGCATACAAATAATAATACAACCCCAAAATTTCCTGATTCAATCGAGATGTATCGAATTTGATTAAACTTGATGGTAACACGTTTTAAGGGATGCTGAATGAGAATACGTAATCTGTTTTTTGGAAAAAAATCGCTAATACCAATCAGCTGTTTTGATGTCAATAAAACGTGT